TGTTGGTAGATGGAAAAGAGCAGAACTCTGAATCTACTTCCAGATTAACTTATTGCCATTTTTGAGAACCTATGGTCAATTCACATTTCACTTAGTAACCCTTGTGAGAAATTGAATGACTCTACATATCTTTGTACCACCAATAGGCCTAGCCCAACACTGAAAATAGTACAGACTTAATTAATTATGCCTGCGGGGCTGGCCCCGTGGCCAAGTGGTTAAGTTCACGCGCTCTGCTGCAGGTGGCCCAGTGTTTCGTTGGTTCGAATCCTGGGCATGGACATGGCACTGCTCATCAGACCACGCTGAGGCAGCGTCCCACATGCCACAACTGGAAGGACCCACAACGAAGAATATACAACTATGTCTCAGGGGTCTTTGGGGAGAAAAAGGAAAAGAATAAAATCTTAAAAAAAAGAAAGTTTTAATTAATTATGCCTGGACAAATGAATGACTGATAATGACACTGCGCATAGAAAACAGAGGCATTTTTTTCTCCCTGGCTTGTGATGAATCTATTAAATTAACACCATGCATATTTTCCTAGCAAGAATATTCTTAGAGACTCTTTGGTTGGAGTAGGGAAAACAGGATGGGAAAGAGAGCAGTGGGGAAAGATAAGGAGACCTGGATGGTATCAGCCAAGCAATTTGGATTAATTAAACATCTTTTTTGAAAAAAAAACAACAGGCAAAAAATACATAACAGCTAACAACTCCTTACAAACAGTTTCACAAAGTGTCAAGATTGTCTGGGAACATTTCTAGTAATAATGTGTGTCGCCATGCTTTAAAGAGGCTAAAGATGATCTATAGCTCACAAAAAGAACAGGTCTAAAGAGATTGGGCCATATGTAATTTTCTTGGGTCACAATTTCAAAGAATTCTATAGGTCTGTGGAACCCATTAAGTGAGTTATAGAACTCTCTTAAAGTCAAACTGTTTAAAAACAACATTTTATAGAAGGTGAGAATTAGAGTATTTTTATTAAATATCACTTTTGGCTTTGGTGTTTTAAAAATATTTTAAATAATCATGATTTGGGCTCATCAAGCAGCCTAAACTATCTTTGAAAAGTTTTGGGTTCCATAAAACCTAAGCTGCTTTTTGCCAAGCACCTTTTCCTCACATTTTAAAAACCATGTGTATTTTAAGGAAAATTTAACCCATGTGTTTTTGATTCATTTAAATTTAAATAATCAAAATAGTGTTTTTTACAAGCTAGTTGATGTCAAAGAAGCTTTTTGAGGCTTTTAAAGAAAGTTTTATTCTCAAAACAAGAAGCAATGATTTGCCAAGTGTAAATGCATTTCCACACCAAGAGGCTTGTTTTCATTTGTAACTGCAAACCCCCGATTCCTAGTCCCTTCTATATCTGGCAGAGATGGATCATTCCTATTCTGTAACATATTGAGGCCTAGACTCCCCAAAGTTAGCTGGCTTTGTGATGAAATAAATGTATTAAGGCTCTAAAAGTAAGAAAAATGGTGATGATTGTTAAAATGTTTCAAGAAATCGGTGCTACAAGAGGCTGTGTAGCCAAATGGAAAGTGTCTTTCTTCATCTGTCACACATTTATTGAGTTTTCTATTATGAATATGGCACTGGGTGATGGGAAACATGCTAAGATGAACATCTTTGGGGTTCCTTACCTCAAAATTAAAAAGAGTAACCTCAGAAGTTTGCTTTCTTCATTCATTAAAATAGGGAGAGTCCTAAAAAGTCCAATTGGTATTTTGGTGGAAGGAAGACTGAGATTTGGGGTTTGGAATTTTTAGAGACAAAGGTAATATCCTTGAGGAATTTGATTAAGAATGAGAGGGGATAGAGTTTATCAGGCAGATGTTAACTGCTTTTTCTCTCTCTGACCTCTGTCTCTGCCTAGGGTGAACAAGTCGCTCAGATGACTGACCAAATCACAATGTCCTGTAAGCTGTTAGGTACTAGAGCTTAACAGCCACTTGTTTTAAATCTTCAGATATCCTCTCTAAATGTGGAGTTGACTTAAATGTCAGATGAATAGGCTCCTCACCTCTTGCCACTCTGGTTCTCAGTAACTCCTTTCTCAGGCCTATAAAAATGAATAGCGTCCGACATATGAATCTTTCGGGGGTAACTAGGATAGTGTTTCGCTCTTTGCCTCACTCTCTGGAAATTTGCTCTGGACAGAATTATTTTGCTGCCCTCCTTCTCTTATAGAGATAAGGCAGAGTGAGGGTTAGGTGGAAGGAGATAGGAAAAGATTTGCTTCAAAATTTGACCTAACTCAATATAAAGACAAAACTCTGAAAAAGACAAAACTCTAATTTCATGGCTTCTAACATATCCTTATGGACCTCACTGTGTACCTAGAGTAAGACGGTTCTTAGGTAGGTGCTGCTTAGCAAGACATTGTAATGGGCCTCATTTCTTAGACACATAGAACTTTATACATTGTCATAGAAAAAAGGACAATTTATTGGCTTGCATAAACAGGCTGTGTATTGCACAGCCTGCCACATATGATATGTACATATGTGCGGGCTGTGCAGTACACACCCTGTGTGGTTGTAAAGTGGTTCTGTGTATAAGTGAAATGTCCAGGGAGAGATTTCAGACATGTCTGCTTCTGGGTGGTCGTATGATGGCATAAGAGATCTTTCTCTCTCTTTCTTGCTCCCTCACACACACACGCACACACACACACACACACATACACATCTCCCAATACTTTTCTTTCTCTACCCTTAGAGGCACATATACTTGTATCTAAAAAGGCCTAAGGGGTAGTACTAGGAAATGAACTTAAGAACCTCTGCCACTTTGTGCGATGAGCAGCCCCAAGCACATCATCCCAAAATAAAAGAGCATACACCTTATAGCAGAGCATGGTGAACATTATGAAAAATTAAACTTTTGGCCTAGGATGATTGTTTTCAACCCATGACACCATGATGGTCAATAGTTCCATTAAATATCTCAGCCTAATTATCACTGGCCTAGGTCTTGTGCCTATCCCTGAACCAAACATGCTGCCTGAGGGGCTGGAATATTTTGATGAGCCAGGCCTGAGTCGTGGTCAGTTCCTGAGATTGAGGGGTGGATTTAGCCCCACCTGAACCACATGGAGTAAGAGTGGATAGAGGTAGTCCCCACAGAGAATCAATAATAGAAGGCAAAATGGCCAACGTCTAAATCAGCCACCTGATTTTTTTGTTTGTTACTGAGCCAAGTTGTCACCAAACCCTATTTACATATATCCCTATTAAGTTTTACCTGCTTGGTTTTCAACAAGGGTTCTAGGATATTGAGATAAATTTGAATTTTTATTCTGTCATCTTGCAAATAAGTCACATTAAGCCATTGGACAAATTGATCTCGTGTATCCAGGTTACTGTATAAATCTTGAGTAAAACCAGACCAAAAATTGTGGTGAAATTCAACTAGCTTCATGTTAATATAATTTCATTCAACAATTATTTATCAAACAGTAAATGCCAAATATAAAATTACATTCATTAATACTCTTGGTTATTATTGTTCAATCACCCTCAAATCCAGTTACATTTATTATTATCCATGTCATATTTTTTATCTTCTACCCAAGGATATCCCTTGATTCAATTTACATAAACATTTTCAATGTGAAATTATGTGCCAGAAATTGTGCTAGCACTGGGGCTACAAAGGGACCTAGAGTCTAGTAGGGAAGAGAGAAGTGCAAAAAACCAAAACAAGGTTAAAGTGTAATCAGAGGAGCAATAATCATCAGATTCTTTGGTGTATTTGCTGTTAAAATAAATGAGTTTATAGAAAAATAGTGTAATTAACCATAACCAAAAAAAGATAAATAATTACTGAGGCGTCAATTTTGTGAGTTAATCCAGGTTGATTCCTAGATCCCTGCATCATTTCCCAAATACTCATACATCATCTGTTTAGCAAACAACTCTAAAATTTTGCCAGAAATCAACTTCACGTTGTATGTAATCTCCAAAAATGGTCTTCTCCACCCTTTTTTAAAAATCAAGACCCTTTAGGTCCCTCACTTATTATCTGTGATGTCCCCAAAACAATTAATGTTGACTTGGAGACCACACCTGCCAGTTCTTTCGATACCCAGGATATAAAGTATCTAGGAGCAGACATATTCACCCATTAAAACAGAGAGAGATGTGGGGCCGACCCGGTGGTGCAGTGGTTAAGTGCACACGTTCCGCTTTGGTGGCCCAGGGTTTGCTGGTTCAGATCCCTGGTGTGGACATGGCACAGCTTGTCAAGCCATGCTGTGGCAGGCGTCCCATATAGAAGTAGAGAAAGATGGGCACAGATGTTAGCTCAGGGCCAGTCTTCCTCAGCAAAAAGAGGAGGATTGACAGCAGTTAGCTCAGGGCTAATCTTCCTCAAAAAAAAATAAATAAATAAATAAAAACAAAACAAAACAGAGAGATGCTATATTCTTTTATCTCACTGCTCTTACCTCTCTATACCAATGGTCCTCAAAGTTTGGCATTATCAGAATTATCTGTAGAGATTTATAAACACAGATAGCTGGGCCCTACCCCGAGAGTTTCTGATTCAGTGGATCTCAGATGGGGCCTGAGAATTTTCATTTCTAGCAAGTTCCCAGGTAATGTTGAATGCTGCTGGTCCATGGATCACATTTCTTTTTTTTACCTTCTTAAAAATTTTATTAATGTCATAATAGTTTATAACATTGTGAAATTTCAGTTATACAATGTTATTTGTCAGTTACCACATATATGTGTCCTTTTACCCCTTGTGCCCACCCCCAACCCCCTTCCCCTCTGGCAACCACTAATATGTTCTCTTTGTCCTTGTATTTGTTTATCTTCCACATATGAGTGAAATCATACAGTGTTTGTCTTTCTCTGTCTGGCATATTTTGCTTAGCATAACACCCTCAAGGTCCATCCATGTTGTTGTGAATGTGACAATTTTGTCTTTTTTATGGCTGAGTAGTATTCCATTGTATATATTTACCACATCTTCTATATCCAATCATCAATTGACGGCCATTTGGGTTGCTTCCACATCTTGGCTATGGTGAATAATGCTGCAATGAACATAGGGTTGCATAAGTCTCTTTGAATAGTTTATTTCAAAATATGTCATTTTATTTTGTGATTTCTATTTGTCTAATTTCTTTTTTCTCCTTATTGAATTCTTTTGGATTGATTGAGGTTTTTTGAATAATCCCTCTGTTTTTCTCTTTATTTGGAAGTTATAGTACAGTTTCTATTCTTTAGTGGTTAATAAAAATTTCAACATGTGTATTAACTTATCAAAGTCCTAAGCTAAGCAATACTTTTACCTCTGGTATAACATAAGAACCATAGAACACTTTAACTCCATTTTCTTTTCCTCCTGATTTATGTTATTGTTGCTGTGTATTTAATTACATTTTTTCAAATTTTAGTCCAGAAGTCATTATTATTTTATACCAATAAATTTACCACTTCTTTTTTACATCTCAGACTATACAGACTACTCTTTTGGTTTATAACAATTTTTGTGAACCCTTTTCTGCTGTCTGTTTCTTCTGCTGGTTCTTATCATGGTGCCTTGTTTCTTGCGTGCTTGTTTTTTTTTTTTTATTAAGATTATGATAGATTACAACCTTGTGAGATTTCAGTTGTACATTATTGTTAGTCATGTTGTGGGTACACCACTTCCCCCTTTGTGCCCTCCCCCCACCCCCCCTTTTCCCTGGTAACCACCGATCAGTTCTCCTTGTCTATATGTTAACTTCCACCTATAAGTAGAGTCATATAGAGTTCGTCTTTCTCTGTCTGGCTTATTTCGCTTAACATAGTAACCTCAAGGTCCATCCATGTTGATGCGAATGGAACAATTTTGTCCTTTTTTATGGCTGAGTAGTATTCCATTGTGTATATATACCATATCTTCTTTATCCAATCATCAGTTTCTGGGCATTTAGGTTGGTTCCACGTCTTGGCTATTGTAAATAATGCTGTGATGAACATAGGAGTGCATGGGACTCTTGGGATTGCTGATTTCAGGTTCTTAGGATAGATACCCAGTAGTGGGATGCCTGGGTCGTAGGGTATTTCTATTTTTAACTTTTTGAGAAATCTCCATACTGTTTTCCATAGTGGCTGCACTAGTTTGCATTCCCACCAACAGTGTATGAGGGTTCCTTTTTCTCCACAGCCTCTTCAACATTTGTCACTCTTGGTTTTGGATATTTTTGCCAATCTAACAGGTGTAAGGTGATATCTTAGTGTAGTTTTGATTTGCATTTCCCTGATGATTAGTGATGATGAACATCTTTTCATGTGTCTATTGGTCATTCTTATCTCTTCTTTGGAGAAATGTCTGTTCATGTCCTCTGCCCATTTTTTGATCGGGTTGTTTGTTTTTTTGTTGTTAAGCTGTGTGAGTTCTTTGTATATTATGGAGATTAACCCTTTGTTGGATAAGTAGCTTGTAAATATTTTTTCCCAATTAGTGGGCTGTTTTTTTGTTTCAATCCTGTTTTCCCTTGCCTTGAAGAAGCTCTTTATTCTGATGAAGTCCCATTTTTTTATTCTTTCTATTGTTTCCCTCATCTGAGGAGTTATAGTGTCTGAAAAGATTCTTTTGACCATGGATCACATTTTGAGAAACACTGCTCTGGAGTGTTTATCTGCTACTTTACTTGGAAACCATTTTTCCTCCCAAAAGAAAGTAAAGGAAAAATTAAGAATGAAATAACTCTGCTTTCTCCCTATAACCTAACAACATCACAGCATCTTTTCTCAGTTGTGAGACTCTCTCTGAATTTGTTAATTCATTGAACAATTGTTTATTGAGTACCTACTATGTGCCAAGCACTGTACTAAGCACTAAGGAAACTAATAATAAACAAATCCTCAGCTCATAGAGAAGCTCATATGGAGGGAGACTAAATAGTATGTAAGCAGAATCCCCCTGGGTAGTGATGTGTTAAGGTCTGCTAGAATCATATAAAGGACCAGAGCAGCACCTAATGTGTTATTCATGAGTCTTTTGTAGGGGAGGGGCAGCTCCCCCTAAAGAAGGGACAAGGATTGTTCTGTTACAGGAGAAGTGATGCTGGGCAGACAAAATCCACATTCCACTTTTGGAGTTGGAGGAGATTTTGCAAAAGAGATGACATGCTATGAATTATTTCTGTGTCTTTCCTAAATCTTTCTGTTGCATTAAATTTTTATAGTTTTTGTTTACGTCTTTTCCTTTTACATTTGAAATCATTGATAATTTGACAAATAATTATAAGAAAATGAAATTTAAAAATATTTTGAGTATCCTTTTCTCTGGAATTAGATATAAAAGGCTCTCTCACATTCCTATACCTGCCTGCTGCCCCCTGCATTGAGGGGAAGCAGAGCCAAGGACCTGGAATGTGTTGCAGAGCCTCACGCCCGCATGATCAGGGTCAGCTTCCACTTGTGATCTGGGAAGCAGAGACACGGGAGGTAAAAGGGGAGTGACGAGAGATATACTGGGAGCTCTGTCTGATGTTGTTTCAGAAATCTAAACTTCATATGGAAACTGAGTCAGAGACCAAGAAGGGCAATGTCAGAAATTAAGGTTCTAGGTGGTACGAAAGAATTTTTCCAGATTTGTGTTTTTCTCCCAGGTCATCTGTGTTGGGCTTCTGGCTCTACTGGGTCATGGTATATACTAAAGGCGGAGTTCAGCCTTTGACACAGTCTCAGGCACCATCCTCTTTATTCGATGTGAGTAAGCCCACAACATAGTTTCCATGTAGCTTTGCACATTGTGGCTTCACTTCCCCCAGGGGTACTGGGAAGTACTATACCCTGGAGGCAGCCCGCTCCTCCCTCTCAAGAGGAGCAGGAGAACAGGCTATAGAAGAGAGAATTCCCACAGTTTTGTCTTGTGCACATTACCTTTACCTCTAAAGGTATGAGACTCAAGATATCTCAAGCCTTCAGTTTCTGTAGCCCACTTGATCTCTCTTTCTGTCGTAACACACCCACACACACGACATTATGTCATAAAAACTGCAGTTACCTCTGGGTTAGGAAAAGCATTGGGCCTTATCATTTAACAAGTATTTATTGAGTATCTACTGTGTTCCAGGCCCTGTCTTTGTGGGTAGGATGTACCAGTGAACAAAATAGACCAAAAAACTCTCTGCCCTTGTAAAGCTCACATTCTAGTGGAGTTTTTTTACATCCCTTGTGAATGAAAGTATCAGAGTCTTCCCTCAAATGATATTTAATGGGAGGGGGTATATAAAGTGGGAGAACCACAAGGAACATGATGTGGACAAGTGGCTTCTCTGAATAGGAGAATGAGTACAAAGGGGATGGTTAACAGGGATAAATTTGACTACTTTACAGTTTTGTTTGGGTAAGACCAATTCTCTTTTTAACAAAAATGGAAAAAAATCTATTAAAAAAAACTAAGAAGCATACATGTAGGCAAATTTAATAAATAAAATGATTGTCTTTTTCCTCCTAACAAATCTATTTCTGCTTTTCAGGTTTTAACATAATCCACCTACCAGTCAGTCGGCCAGTCAGTCAGCACGTCGTGCTCATAGTTTTACATTATAGTACTTCCCAGATAAGAATCCCATTCTTTCTTTATTCTTACTTGGTTTCAAGAGCTGTCTGGCAGTCACGCTGTTGAATTGAATTCAAGGATGCTTTCAGATTAGTGCCATGAAACAGGCAATTCACTGTATCTCCATAAGGCACGTTACTGTCCCCCAGTGAATGATATCTGACAGAAACAGTAAAAAGAGACTTATCTAGCATCTAACAAGCATTGCTTTTTCCAGGATGGGTAGAGAAAGGGAGACATTGCATGTAAGTCTTAGCATCATTAAGTAATCACAATGAGTACATTGTAAGTAAGTTGGCCCACATCAACCCTTGTGGCTGGAAAACCTATACTATAGCACCTGTCTTTGAAGAACTTAGATGGTGAAATTCCATTTCAAGTGAAATAGAGTAAAAAGTCCAATTATCTGGAAACTCCAAAAAGAGAGGCCTCTATAGGTTTATTCCTGGGGAAGGAGAAGTGGCCCCTGAAACTATGCATGAGACTGGAGTAGACTTCTATTCAGTGGACTTTGTGGGATCACAAAGCCAGAGTTGCTACCAAGCATTCACCATGGGGAAAAGTATTTTCCTGCATTTTCCATTCATTTTTGGGTATGATCTCTCAGAAATGCCTACAAAAGTGCTGTAGCAGAAATACCTCTCATAGGGACAATTAGCTAGTCAGTCAACAGCATTGTTGGCTGCTATTTTCTGTTGGAAACAGATTGAAACCTCAATGTAAGTAAATAATCTCATCCTGAGGCAGAGGAAGAGTTTTTTAATCCTTAACAGTGTCCTTTGGGACTTGTTTTAGAGTTTCATGGAGTCATAGGTGGGTATCACTGGGAATCAGTTCCAGATTTCCACAGGATTCTGTACTGTGAAAATTGCTACATCAAATGGACAATAAATTGGTTCACAGCTACTTTGGGGTGGATGGGTGGGAAATATCATCACAATGGTTGTTTCCCAATTTATAAACCAGTAGGGATTTTTTTCTTGGAAAATTAGACACATATGGAGCTATAACTAGTCTGACATTTAGTTTTCCATTTTTAAAAAAGTGTGAGTAGGGGCTGGCCTGGTGATGTGGTTAAGTTTGCATGCTCTGTTTCAGTGGCCCTGGGTTCGGATCCCGGGCATGGTCCTACACACTGCTCATCAAACCACGCTGTGGCAACACCCCACATACAAAATAGAGGAAGATTGGCACAGATGTTAGCTCAGCGACAATCTTCCTCAAGCGAAAAGAGGAAGCTTGGCAACAGCTGTTAGCTCTGGGCCAATGTTCCTCACCTGGAAAAATAAAAAGTATGAATAAATGTCTAATGCAGTGCTTTGTGTGCTAGCATCAGTGGAGAATGCGTTTGGGGAGGGTTGACACCATTTTATAAAATGATTATTACAAATCTGTATGGGGTGAAAACTCAAAACAACTACTTTTCCTGAAGCTGTAGAGTCAACCTAAAATTAAATCTACAGTTATTCCACTGTGGCTAGAATTGGTAATCAAAGATTAAGAGGATTTGTTTCACTGGAGGTCCCCAGTTACCACCAAAACACCTCTAGTCTCTGGACTGGGGCCTCTTCCTGTAATGTAATTCATTTGGTTTTTTCACACTTTCTCCCTTCAATTCTAAGAAATTACTGTGGCTTTTGTGTTATATTTTCATCGTTTTGATAAAATAATTATTCCCATCCCATTTTGCTCATGCTTCTTTGCATCATCTCTTTTGTTGTGGGTTTAAACTCACATGCACTCCCTCTTGTCTCTTCTCTGCTAATCCCGCCCAGGAATCATTCTATGGGTGAATAGAAGGTGTTGACTGTTCAATATGTTTTCCATGTATTGTCAGCTGCTTTATTACTGCCTCTCTCCAGTTCTTTGCCACTAAGAAGCATGAAGATGTTCATTTAAATTGCTAGGCTTCTGTCATGTCACAATGGAATGGATGCCTGGGATTGGGTGGATGCTTTGAGTAATACTGAAAGCTGTGTCTAACTTGTGTCAGCAGCAAAGTGGCAAAGAATGCAGCAATACCCTCCTCAGAGGATACAGAAAAAGCCTCCTCAGACTGGAACTATTTTCCCAGAAATACCAAGCTTACTAGTTTCTAATGTCCACAGACTTGTAATTATGGTGAATGAGTTTGAAGTTTAAGATTCTATAGTTGTCATTCAAAGAATATTGGAGATCCAAGATGTATTCTTCATCAAAGTGCAAGCACAAACTGAGCTCATCCTAGTACTCTCTTCTCTTGGTAGATGTACATCAATATCACTTATTTCTTTCTGAGAATATCTCAGTTTGGGGTCCTGTGAAACATCGTTAGAATAGGTAGCCATTAAAAGGAAAGAGTTGGACATTATGACAAAGAAGGATGTTCCTGCTATCTTGTTAAACGTAAATACAGTGTGTATTACATGATCTGATTTTGTTACACACACATATAACCCAGGGGACAAAGAATGAAATTATATACACCAAAACATTATCTGGGAATATCTCTAAGTGCTGAGATTCTTATACTTTTCTTTATGGTCATCTTTATTTTCACAAAGAATGAAAACTATAAATTATTAGAAATTAAACCACAAGCAATTTGACTTCATATATAGAGGGTGGTCTCCATGGGGATGGGGCTTACATTAGAAACAAACAGAACAAAAAGTCCATGTTATAGTTACGTGATTTCAAAAGGAGTCACTTAGAAGTTTCATAATGATCTCCTGGTTTTGAAGGTGAAAACAAGTTCTGATAGATTTCAAATTAGTCTGGTTTTCATTGAGTCTTTCAGTGTTCCCATTCAAAGTTCCAATGTGTGTTTTGCTTATGTCTAATACTATTTCCAGATGGTTTGGGAGGAAAAAAATGTAAAGATTTTATAAGACAGTGTCATCACATTTTATTCTCGTATTTGGAAACAAACAATATTTTATTGTGCCCTTCTTTCATACATATATATATGCCCTTCTTACGCCTTTTTGCAAGTTAGATTTTTTTTCATTCAGTTTTTTTTTATCTTTCTCCAAAAGCTTTGTGACAGCTGAGTTTAAGTGGTTGCTTCAGGCTACAGAAGTCAAAGATGAAATTGAATTATGCTTCCAGGCTTGGCATACAAAATCAAGAAAAATTTCATTCATTATGATTAATTAATCCAGAAGCACAGTGGTAGTATTATGGTTATATTGTATCTGGAACTTGGCATATTTTCAACTGACATTTACATGGTAAAGAAGAAAACGGAATGGTAACTCTGTGCCTGGCAAACTGCTCCATAATAAGCTGGGGAAAAAAAGAACAAACAAGAAGTCAAGGGGAAGAAAAGATATTATATATTGCATGTGGGGGGTTGGGTTTTTTGAGATTCCACTCACTATTGATTATCTCGTGGAAAATCCCATAATATAGGATAATGAATGGCTTACAAGTTAGAGTTATCCTCAACACCATTTTTACAAATGCCTTAATTTGTCATACATGGTATTATGGTGAAAATTACTCACAATGATAGTGACATACACAAGTAAATAATAAAAATGTTTCAGAAATGCCTATTATAGAAGAGGCATTGCTAACAAGAATTGCCTACTCAAATCCTTTTATATGGACTCTTTTCCTTTGTTGTGATAAACTTCATAAGTAGATTACCTGGGATTTATGTTACTATCTAGCAGACAGCTGATATACCTGAGGGACTAGCACCAGCTGGGAACAGAGACTTTTCAAGGATGAGGAAGATAGAGAAAGAGAGAGGGAGAGAGAGGAAAGAGGGAATTAGAAGGAGTGAATCCGTTAGCCACTGCTGCAGTAATACCGAATAATAAACAACAAAATCTCAGTGGCATCCAACAATAAGCACTTATTTATCACACATCTGTAGTCAACTCCACTGATCTCTGCTAGGCTTGCTCATAAATATGCAAATTAGGGAAGGTCAATTGCCCTGGGCTGGCTGGAATCTACTGGGCTTCTCAGCTTCAAGATGCAGGTGTGCAGGTCAGCCAAGAGGCTCTGCTCCCCATCATTCTCAGAACAGCTGGCTAGCTGGGGGAAGTTCTTCTCATGGCAAAGGCAGAGGCCCAAAAGAGAGTGAGCTCCACTGCACCAATAGCTTCAAGCCTAAGTGCACATGACATCTGTAAACATCTCATTGCTCAAAGGAAGTCACACAGCCTGAGCATTGGTGGGATGAGGGAAATAGGAGACCCTGGAGACAGAGAGTAAAGAACTGTGAGCAGTAATTCCTTCATCACTGAGGGTGAAAGGGGAAGGGGGAGTGAGAGTGAGAGAGACCTGGAAACAAACAATTTCCTTTAGATCGTCCCCGACCCATGGCCAAGCAAATGAGGAACTCATGTTGATAATGGTTTCAAGCCTTCAAGGTGTTGGGAGCTTCATTAGAATTTACTTTGAAGGATTCTTGCTAATAATGTGGTGACTTTGGGGAAAAATTCTGTTGTGGGTCACAATCCCACGTTGGCAGCAACCTACTTTCCGGTACATTGTCATGAAGTTTTTTCTGAGGAGTGTGGGAGAAAGTTTCTTTTCTGGGGGCCTGTGAATTTCCATTTGTCACTAACTTTGAATCACGTTGTCATTGTGACAGCTCAGGGGCCTTACAGATGCAAACATCAGATAAGACAGGTAGGTGTAAGTCAGGTTGCTCTCTGAAATGTACTATGCATAAGTGCTATATATGGATGAAGACCCAAAATATACTTTCTGTATAGGAAAGCCAGTTAAAGACAAAGAGCACTTTAATTATAAAAGCATGTATAGGAACACTTCCAGAAGACTGGCCTCTATATCTGGTTCTATATTCATTTGTGTGACATCCTTATTCAAAGGAAACCCTTTATACTCCTTGAAGAACCTCATTTTCTGTACCTGTAAAATAGATATTTAAAACATGTAGCAAAACTTGCCTATATACTGAAAGATCTATACTGAAATATTCAAGTCTATAATTTTGACAAAACTTAAATGTGTTCTGCTTTAAGCGTCTATTCCAACAGGTATGTGACTTCTGGACAATGTCAAGATCAGACTAGCACACTGGAACATACAACTGATATCTTTGATCTACCCAACACTCTTTCCTTTGGACATCTACTGCTTCTCTACTGTAGGAGATTCTCGGAGAACTGTCAGCCAGAGAACGCTGCCCTCCCACCTCTACCACTATGACTGGAGAGACCATTTGACCCTAAGTGGGGCAATGAGACTCTCTCTCCTGGAAATTTGTATCTCGAGGGGTGACACCGAGGGATGGAATCTTGTGAACAGACATACTGCAGTTGGAGGTGAGCCATCCAATGGCAGGCCACTAAAGAGCGAGAGAGTGTTATTAAGTTCCGTTACCTGGATCCTCAGAACTGCTCTAGTTTTTCCCTTTTCCAACACTTGAATGTTCCTTCCTTGACTATGTAACTACTCTCTCTTTCTAATAAATTGCTTTTTGGCTTATGTCAGCCAGAGTCAATTTTTGGTTTCTTGCAACCAAATGAAGCATGCTTGATAGTGTGGATGGAATCAACTGGCTTCTATTCCACTCTCATTCTAATTGGAGAGACTTGAAAGGCAATACCCTCATTTCTCAGATCCCCATGCAGGTAGGGTTCTGGATGTCATTTAAGTTCTACCAATTCGAGGCATTAGTATAAGACTTAGAAGTCTGAAGTGAGACAGAGGCCATTTTCTTGTCTTTTTGGCTGTCTCTGCTGATAAACATGGTTGTGAAAATTGGAGATTTCTCTGTAGCAGTGTGCCACTGTCCACTCTACAGCTTTCTTGGTGATGAGAAGAAGTTGTGGTGGCAGAAGTGGCAGCAGAGTGGCAGCAGGTTCTTGACTCAGGCATGGCTCCAGTGGTGCCTCACTGGTAGTAGCTGGTGGGTCAGTTCTATATTATTTTGTAGTCACTTATAGAGACAGCCTGATCCTTCCACACGTCTAATGATTTTGTAAGTACTCATCCTCTGTATTAAATTCTTCCTACTTATAAATACCTAAAGTGGTCTCTTTCTCCTGCATTGAACCTTGGGTAATATAGAACCCTAACTGACACAAATATATAAATGATCTAGAAAAGGATCACATGAGCCAGTTTGGTAGGAATATGCAAATAAAGCAAATGTAGTACAAGAATGGTCAAATAAATTTTGTACTTGAGTTTCCTCTATATCATCATCAACAGACAGGCACTTCTGTCATCAAGAATACAGAAGCTATAAAATTTGTAAGGTATAGATAAGCACTGAGTTATAAGTATTCAAATTTTACAAAGAGTTCAAGAAATTTTCTTACAATAATTTTTGTCTGATATTAATGTAGTTACAGCAGACAGTTTTTTAATTGAAAAGTTGATTCTAAAATATATTTGGAAGACACAGAACTAAGACTAGCCAAGAAACTCCTTAAGAAGTAGTAAATCAAGATGAGGGACTTGCATTACCAGATATAAATTTATTCTAAAGCAATGATAAATAAGGTAAAATGATATTGTTACTTTGGGGAAACTGACAGAACAGAATGGAATGTCTAGGAAGAGACTCACACAATATGGACACTTCAGTTATGACAAGGCTGGCAGTGAGGATCAGTGGGGAAAGTGTGGACTAGTCACTCCAATATGCTGAGAAAACTAGTTATAGGAAGGGGAAAAAAGCCCTACTTCACTCTATTCACACACACACATACTTCAAAATGGTTTGGTGATTTATCCATGAATGGTAAAACTTCACATTTTTAAAACATTGAGAAAAAAATATAGTAGAATAATAGCTTTAAGACTTCTGGGTAGGATAGAGTAGGGAAGACATTCTTTTTTTTTTAAAGATTTTATGTTTTTCCTTTTTCTCCCCAAAGCCCCCCGGTACAT